GTGCTCCTGCCGCCCGCCAGAAACGTGGGGCCGGGGTGGGAGGGGAGAGGAACTCACCCTGGGCATCCCCAGCCCGGGACGGAAAGAAAACCCTGGAGGAAGGAGGGTGGTTTACAGTGGAGACCCTCGGGGCTTTGGGGAACGGAGAGGGGGACTGGGGAAAGTGAGGAGCTGATCAAGCTAGAAAAACAGACCTCTGCAACCCCTAGGTATTTTCACCCCACTTTATTTAACTCTCCCCTTCTTCCTCGAGAGCTAAGGATTCTGCACTGAACCAAAAAACGTCCGGAAACAGGATCTCCTTTTCTCCTCTCGGAGAGACCACGCAGACTTCCTCCATGAGTTATGTCAGAGGCCTGAAACATTGTCTGATTTACTGTGAATGTCAGATTTCTTTTTGTAATATTTTAGGCAAAGTAGAAACAGTAAACCTTTGCTCGGGCTGCCAAACGTCTCCCATGACAAATCATTGTTTTCAGATGTTCAGATTTGTGTGAGAAAACCCAACAAAGGGAAAATGTTTAGGCTTTGTCTCAATCCTAAAGCAATATCATTGGAGAAAAAAAAATCCTGCTAACTACATCATAGTCCTGAGATGATGAAAAATACTATTTTCATTACACACTTTTTAAGCATAGGTTTTATGTTACTGACTCAACAATTATTATCATTTTAAATGTGAAACACAGACCCTAAATGGTTCTTTATGAGAAACCATTGTTTTGAAATATCTGAAATTAATTAGACCATGGCTACAGTCAATGTGCAAGTATCAAACTGAACATCTGTGGAAAAAAAAGCTTCCCATCACTTGAAAGAATATTGTGAAACTGAAATACAGTCTATCAAGGAAAAACTACTTTGTCTGGCATAGGTTCTCTCAAGCCATCTTTTGTGACTTTACAGTCACCTTTTATTCGTCTTTTCCTATGCTTTTTTCCTCCTTTTTTTCTCCTGAGCTGCTGTGTGTGAAAAGCCTTATGTAAAAGTCAAGGAAACAATTCGTGTAATTTAGATGCCAGCAATACTAAGGTCAGTTCAGGCAAATCAAAGATCCCTGCAAAGTTATTCCACTTGGCCACTAGCTCCGAAGGTCTAACTTCCCATTCCCATCTACTTGCAAAGGGCTGTGCCATGCCAGCTGTGCTGAAAATGGGTCCATTGGTCCAATTTTCCTCTTAAAGCTACAGAAACATAGGCTGCTTCCTGATTCTGCTGTGGTTCAGTTATCTAAAATCCAATGTGTTTTCAGAAAGCACAAAATCTTTTCAAACAATAGACTTTCGCAATATCTCCGATTCTGTGTTTAAGAAAAGCTTTTCCCAGTCCTTCTCTTTCCTATGCTTCAAGTCAAATACGTTTTTAGATCCAAATTAAAACTCTTCAAAGGAGTCAACCTTAGCAGCAGCGGTAACCATAGCGTATACAACCGCTTTC